TATTCAATATTTGTTGTTTTTTTTAGAAAAAATAATACTGACATTTACAATTAAGTATTTTTATTTATCAAAGATAATATTAAAAATATTTGTTTTAATATTTTAATAAAAAATATTGAAAATAGTTATTTCTATATTGTTTATTAAATATAATATTAAAATATTTACAGTTATTTTTTATCAAACAATAGTAAAAGTATGTGTAAATATTTAAATAAAATATAATGTAAAAAGAATTAGGTTGAAGTACTTTGTTTATCAAAGATAATATAAAAATATTTACATTTAAAAAGTTTTTTGGCAAAAATAATATTTTAAATATTTAATAAAATAATATTAAATATATTTAAGTATTTTTATCATAAATAATATTTAAACAATTGCTCAAGTATTGTTTATGATAATTATGTTAAAATATTAATTAATTTGTTTAACAGAAATAAGAAATATAATAAATAGTAGGCATCACCGGCAGCTGTTTGCGTTGAGCTTCACGCGTTTGCTCTTCACTGCTTTACCGCAGCATCAGACCGGTGAGTGTTTCATCTGACCCGCTTTATTCTCGCTTTGCTTCTGCTGCATCCGCTGTTGTTGTTGTGTGTTATAATAACAGGTGTGTGTGTGTGCGCCTGTGTGTGTGCTTGTGTGCGCGTTTGTGTGTGCATGTGTGTGTGTGTGCGTGTATGGGGTGTGATAACTGAACTTAACTCTGTGTGTGTGTGTGTGTGCGCGCATGTGTGTGTGCGTGCACATGCATCATAGAAGTAATATAATAATAATATTGCTGTCATGCATTTCCCAATTTAAATTAAATATTTAAATAATAATGTGTGTGTGTGTGTGTGTGTCTGTGTGTGTGCATGTGTGTGTGTGCGTGTATGGGGTGTGATAACTGAACTTAACTCTGTGTGTGTGTGTGCGCGCATGTGTGTGTGCGTGCATGTGTGTGTGCATGTGTGTTTGTGCGTGTATGGGGTGTGATAACTGAACTTAACTCATGTGTGTGTGCGTGTGCATGTGCGTGCATGTGTGCGTGCGTGTGCGCGTGTGAGTGCGCGTGTGAGTGCGTGTGTGTGTGCGCGCGTGTGTGTGTATACACATACAAATCTAGGATGGCTTTTTTTTATATATAAAAATAAAAGATTTTGCCTAGTCCTGCTTGGATGTGTCTTTAGTGGATCATGTGATCCAGAATAATGTAGTTTCAATTCTAAATGATCTAATACTAGATCTAATTGGATCAGTTCTAAATGATCTAAAATTAATGATCTCTCTCTCTGGTGTGTGTTTTTAGAGGTAAGGGCGACACTCCTGAGGCTCGAGCGCTAGCGAAGCAGATCGCCACAGCTCTGCAGAACCTCCAGTCCAAAACCAGCAAAGCGGTGGCCAACACTCGTCCGGCCAAAGCGGCCGTTCACCTGGAGGGGAAGATGGAGCAGGCGCAGAGATGGATCGACAACCCCTCGCTGGAGGACAGCGGTGTCGGTGCGGCTCTCCTCCTGCTCTCTCTCTCTCTCTCTCTTCTCACTCTCTGTCAGCGCTCCTCTTCACGTGTGTGTGTGTGTGTGTGTGTGTCTGTGTCTGTGTCTGTGTGTCTGTGTCTGTGTCTGTGTGTCTCTGTGTCTGTGTCTGTGTGTAGGTCAGGCTGCGATCCGCGGGCTTCTGGCCGAGGGCCGGCGTCTGGCCAATGCTCTGCCGGCGTCGCAGAGGCAGGATCTGCTGGGTAAGTGTGAGGAGGTGGAGCACCTGATGGGGCAGTTAGCCGAGCTGGCGGCCCGCGGGGAGGGAGACGGTCCTCAGACCCGCGCCATCGCTCAGCACCTGCAGGACACACTCAAGGTCAGACGATAGGTGATGGGGGTCATGTGACGTATGTGACCCTGGAGCACAAAAGCAGTCATAAGTAGCACAGGTATATTTGTAGCAATAGCCAACAATACATTATTTGGGTAAAAATGATCAATTTCTCTTTTATGCCAAAAATCATTAGGATATTAAGTAAAGATCATGTTCCATGAAGATATACCGTAAATATATCAAAACTTAATTTTTGATTAGTAATATGCAGTGCTAAGGACTTCATTTGGACAACTTTAAAGGTGATTACCTCTAAAAAGTATTAAATATAAAATTCATATAATTTAAAATTAAATGTAGAAACATATGTATATTAGTTTGTGAAATGAAAACTTTACATTTTTATTATAAATATTGTAGTATATATGTGACCCTGGAGCACAAAAGCAGTGTTAAGTCGCTGGGGTATATTTGTAGTAATAGCCAACAATACATTGTATGGGTCACAATTATTGATTTTTCTTTTATGCCAAAAATCATTAGGATATTAAGTATAGATCATGTTCCATGAAGATATTTTGTACATTTCCTACCGTAAATATATCAAAACTTAATTTTTGATTAGTAATATGCATTGCTAAGAACTTCATTTGGACAACTTTAAAGATGATTTTCTCAATATTTAGATTTTTTTGCACCCTCAGATTCCAGATTTTCAAATAGTTGTATCTCAGCCAAATATTGTCCTATCCTAACAAACATACATCAATGGAATCATTTATTCAGCTTTCATATGATGTATAAATCACAATTTCAAAAAATTGACCCTTATGACTGGTTTTGTGCTCCAGGGGTCACATATGTACACTCTTTTGCTTGCAATGATGAACTTCCTCCCGGTTCAGCCAGATCTTCAGAAACAACATTCAGAAATATTCTGACTTCACAACCATGAGCTCTTTAGCATATGACTGCTATCATTTACATATCAGCACATATTCAGTTTTTAATGACTTGACTTCCCTGGTAAATGTTAGTATGAACTATACCTGAGGTTAGTCAATCAGGACTATTTTAGTATTATTTATATACTGTTAAAGTATTTATTAATAATAAGCTTGAATACGCTCTTATTTTTCTAATTTTCTTTTACTTTTTTAATGTCTTTTAATTATTTTCTTTGTACTAACTTCTAATATTCTGTTTTTAATTAATAATAATAATAATTATTATTATTATTATTATAAATAATAGTTATTCTGTAATTAGTTTTTGTTTCTGTTTTAGTCATTTTAGTACTTCCACTTCAGCTTATTTTATTTCAGTTATTTGCCAAGGCAACATTTCTAATTTCCAGTTTTAAGGTTTTTTCTGTTTATGTTTGTTTTTCATGTTAAATATTTCATATTAAACCATGTATTTAGATTTTCATTACAGTTTTATTACACTTAACAAAAATAATAATATAATTCAGTTTTGTTTTTTTTGACATTTTAGTTTTGTAATTGTTATTTTTTTGTAATAATTTCTTCTAATAATTATTCTGTTTATAATTAACCGATAATTTTTATAAATAATAATTATTCTGTAATTTGTTTTGATTTTGGTTTTTAGTCATTTTAGTACTTCCACTTCAATTTATTTTATTTCAGTTATTTGCAAAGGCAACATTTCTCATTTCCAGTTTAATTTTTTAAATGTTTTTCATAATAAATATTTCATATTAATTTAAATATTTAGATTTTTATTTCAGTTTTATTTCACTTAACAAAATTATTTTAATAACAATAGTAATTCTGTTTTCTTTTCATATTAGTTTTGTAATTTTTGTAATTTGTTTTGATTTTTAGTAATTTTAGTACTTCCACTTCAATTTATTTTATTTCAGTTATTTGCAAAGGCAACATTTCTCATTTCCAGTTTAATTTTTTAAATGTTTTTCATAATAAATATTTCATATTAATTTAAATATTTAGATTTTTATTTCAGTTTTATTTCACTTAACAAAATTATTTTAATAACAATAGTAATTCTGTTTTCTTTTCATATTAGTTTTGTAATTTTTGTGCGCTTTTGTCATATTTTGTAATAACTTTCTTCTAATAATTATTGTTTATAATTATTATTATAAATTATAATTATTCTATAATTTGTATTGATTTCAGTTTCTGTAATTTTAGTACTTCCACTTCAACTTATTTTATTTCAGTTATATTTAAGTTTTCTTACAACTTAAATATAACTATTTAAAGTATTAAGTTTTTATTTCATATAAATATATTATATATAATTTTTATTTTATTTCATATTAAATTGAATATTTAGATTTTTTTTTATTTTGGTTTTATTTCCGTTAACAAAAAAAAAAAAAAGCAGAAAATTATCATGAAAAACTAAATTATGGTTAAGAAACCTTGACTAAATTTAAAATGGACTTCTTTAATGTACATGCAAATACACAACTATCTCTATTTATTTAAACAAATGCGATAAATGCATGCATGAAACAAATAAGTGCACACAAACTTAGGGTTATATTTAATATCACACATGCACAATGATACAGTAAAGCACTCCACCTGCTGGTGAGTGAATCATGTTAGATAAATGCATTACCTTTAAAATGTTTGAGGTCAGCAAGAAATTAATAATTTTATTCATCAAGGATGCATTAAATTGATCAAAGTGACAGTAAAGACATTTATAATGTTGTAAAAGATTTCAATTTCAAATAAATGCTGTTCTTCTGAATCATCTGTGAATCCTAAAAAATTTAATGTATCACAGTTTCCATTAAATATTGTGCAGCACAACTGGTTTCAACATTGATAATAATCAGAAATGTTTCTTGAACATCAATCAGCATATTAGAATGATTTCTGAAGATCATGTGACACTGAAGACTGGAGTAATGATGCTGAAAATTCAGCTGCGTATCACAGAAATAAATTACATTCTAACAGATATTCACATAGAAAACAGTTATTTTAAATTGTAATAATATTTCACAATTTTACTGTATTTTTGATCAAATAAATGCAGCCTTGGTGAGCAGATGAGACTTCCTTCCAAAACAAACATGTGTTTGTGTGTTTGTGGCAGGAGCTGAAGGGTAAGATGCAGGAAGCCATGACTCAGGAGGTGTCTGATATCTTCAGTGACACGACTACGCCGGTCAAACTGCTGGCGGTGGCAGCCACGGCTCCTCCAGACGCGCCCAACAGAGAGAAGGTGCCACACACACACACACACACACACACACTGATGCTGGAGCGTACCGTGTTCCTCTGTGATTGATCATGTGTGTGTGATCAGGTGTTCGAGGAGCGGGCCGCAAACTTTGAGAATCACGCGGGTCGTCTGGGAGCCACGGCGGAGAAAGCGGCCGCAGTCGGCACGGCCAACAAGAGCACGGTGGAGGGAATCCAGACGGCCGTCAAATCAGCCCGAGATCTGACGCCTCAGGTAACAAACACCAGCCACACACCACTGAAGCGCAGTCAAAGCTGACTGTACTTGTGTGACTTTAATCTGTTTTTTATCTTCAGGTCGTCTCTGCAGCTCGGATCCTCCTGAAGAATCCTGGAAACCAGGCAGCTTATGAACACTTTGAGACCATGAAGAATCAGTGGATCGACAATGTCGAGAAAATGACGGGTGACAAATTTGAACTGTGACATCAGCTCTATCGATCTGATGTTAATATTTTATTTATGTTTTATTTTTATTTTAGGTAGTTCTATTTTTATTTCATTTTACATTTTTGTTATTTAGACAGGATGCTATCTATCGATCTATGTAGTGCATTTATTTTTACTTATTGAATTTTAATTAATATTTGCTTTTCATTTAATATTATTTTATTTTATATTGTTTTATTTTTAATCTATTTATTTAAAATCTCATGTTTTTTTAAAAGATGTATTTATTGTCATCGATTTATCGCTTATATTTTATGTATTTATTTAATTTATTTGATATTTAATTTTTTTATTTCATACCGTTTTATTTTTTATTTTATTTTACATATTTTTTAAGTTTATTTAATATTTTTATTTCATTTCATTTTAAGTAAATATCTTTTTATGCCAGACAGGATGCTATCTATTGATCTATGTAATGTATTTATTTTTACTTATTTAATTTTAATTCAGATTTTATTGTTTTATTTTTTACTTTACTTTTTTTTTTTTATTAATTAATTAATTTTTTTATTTAATTTTGTTATTTTCAGTAAATATATTTTTATGTCAGACAGGATCTAATGTATTTATTTAATTTGTATATTGCTTTATTTTTTTGTTTTGTTTTATTTAACATTTTATTTTTTAATATTTTACTTTATTTTATTGTCAGTAATTATCAGACCGGGTGCCAGCAGTACTTGATCCACAAATAGTTATTTTACCCAGAAAACTAGCAAAGAGCGAAGAAAAAATTAGTTACAGTATTTGACAAAGATCAAAACAAATTAGAAAACATTAATGTGGAAAAAAATACAGTAAAAATAGGTTGAAATCACAATGTTTGTCTGAGTAGTTCTGTCTGAATAGGGACAATGTTTACTGTTGTTTCCAATTTTCAGAAATCATCTACAGTACAATGAACAAATCCCGACTCTCTCTCTGTCTCTCAGGTCTGGTGGATGAAGCGATCGACACCAGGTCTCTGCTGGATGCATCAGAAGAAGCCATTAAGAAAGATCTGGACAAGTGTCAGGTAGCTATGGCCAATCACCAGCCTCAGATGCTGGTCGCCGGGGCAACCAGCATCGCCCGGCGAGCCAATCGGATCCTGCTGGTGGCGAAGCGAGAGGTGGAGAACTCCGAGGACCCCAAGTTCAGAGAGACCGTGAAAGCGGCGTCTGATGAGCTCAGCAGAACCATCTCACCGATGGTCATGGACGCCAAAGCCGTGGCCGCCAACATACAGGACCACGGTGAGACACACAGAAAGACGTTAGCTGCATAGCAACACCCTAGCAACCATCCACAGTACCCAGCATCATGAGATTTTTTTTTTTTTTCTTTTTAAATCTAGTGCACGTCTAAAGATCTGGGTGAAGAGTGGTTGGTTGAAAGTAGAGCTGCACATTATGGGGAAAATATCTAATTGTGATTTTTCTGATTAAAAATCGTGTTTTCAATTTAAAATATTGAACTTTACAAGTTGGCCAAAACTTTAGTGATTTATAAATAAATATTAAAGTATATAAAAGTATTATTATTTTTTAATTAAATTATTATTATTTATTATTATTACTAGTACTACTTAATAAAAATATTAAACAAAATAATAACTATTACTATTGCAATATTTCACTGCTATGCTTGTTTATATGACATGATTTAACCAAAAATGTTGTGATTTATTATAAATATGGCAATACAATTATCAATAATAATAATTAGTAGTAGTAGTAATAGTTGTAGTAGTATTTCTAAATAAATTTCTTCTTGATTACATGATTGTACATGATTGTAGGGATTCATAATTTGGCCAACAATTTTGTGATTTATATATTAGCATGATTATAAAATTATTATTATTATTATTATTATTATTATTATTATTACTACATAAAATATTAAACAAAATGTTTAATGCATGTTTTTAGAGCTTCTCAATTTGGCCCCAAAAAATTTTGATTTATATATAAATATGACTATAAAATTATCTTGTGTTATTGTTGTTGTTGTTTAATATTACAAATATTATGCAAAATAAGTAATACTGCTTTTGTAATATTTCACTGCTGTGCATGTTTTTAGGGCTTCACAATTTGGCAAAAATGTGGTTTATAAAAAAATAATAAAAATATTATTATAATATTTTCATCCACTATAAAAAATATTATTACTACTAAATAAAAATATTAAACAAAATAAAAATAACAGGTTTTTTTATATTTCTCTGTAAAAGAAATAAAATAGTAATTAGGAAAAAAATAACATAATCTTTTTTTTACAGTATAACACTAATGTTTATGATTTTCTTAATTTCTTAATTTTTAATCGTTAAACCAACAAGTCTCATTACAAGTTTGGAAAGATGATTGGTGCATGTTGTTTTCTCAATGCATGTGAAAGCGACCCAACTGTAACAGTTCATGTGGAGCAGCATTTACTGCAAAGTGAGATGCTAAAACCATCTGATCATGAGCTGCTCACGTGTAAATCAACACAGTGCTGTGCTTCACTTTGAAACACATCAGATATATTGATTTAATTCACTCACAGCCTTAGTTGAACCTATGACCATTGTCTTCCTGGACAGGCCTTCAGAGGGGCTTCCTGGACTCGGGTTATAAGATCCTGGGTGCCGTGGCTAAAGTGCGGGAGGTGTTCCAGCCGCAGGAGCCAGACTTCCCTCCTCCACCTCCAGACCTGGAGAACCTGCAGGTCAGATTCACCGCAGACGCCTGTAGCTGCACGCATTTACTGCACCAGCATGGTTTTAAAGGGGATATCGGATCCCCATTTTACACAAGTTGATATGATTCTTTGGGGTCTTAATGAAAAGTCTATAACATGCTTTGGTTAAAATGTCTCAATGGTAGTGTAAAACAACACCCTTTTTACCCTGTCAAAATCAGCTCTGTTCACAGTGACCCGTTTCGGTGCATGTCCCTTTAAATGCTAATGAGCTCTGCTGACCCCGCCCCTCTGTTCCGTGGAGTGATGAGCCATTCTCATGAGACTGTAAACTTTAGCCACATTCAGCGTGAAACTTGCTAATTAGCACATTATTAGGAAAAGCGATTTGCAAATAAAAAAAAACGTATACTCACTTCTTCTGTAGGTGAGGCTGGATCACGAATGATTCGTGCGAACATAGACGCATTTAGACAGATCGGGGGCGCATTCCCTTCAAAAACAAAAAAGTAATGTTAATACACTGCGTCTTCAGCGGCTCAGATGCCGGGAGTAAATGACGACTGCTATGTTTATTATTACATCCAACAACTAAACACCTCAATCGCTTAGGAGCCATTCTTGTCCACACCTGCTCCGGCGTCCAAACAATGGCGGACTGTTAACGGCTCACTCAGGGCGGGTCTGTGATAAAACGCCAGTGTCAATCAACAATCGTGGGAGGGGCCTGGGTCTGTGTGACGTCACTCTGCCAAGAATCTGTGAATGGCTTGATCTGAGAAAGAGCTTATTATTTATGAGGATTTAAAAAAAAGCACTGGGTGGATTTTTAACCTTATAGGGTGGTTGTGTACACACACTGCCAACACACATTTACAGTGGGTAAAATAAGTATTGAACACATTCGATTTTATTACACGTAACTTAAAGGTGCACTAAGCGAGTTTTGCCAAACGGTGTTGATATTTGAAATATATATATATATATCTGCCATCTCTCTCTATCTGTAGTCGATCTGCTAATATCCGTCCTGTGCACTCAAATTGAGCGCTCTCTTCTCTCTATCATTACAAGACATGCCCCCTTACTGCTGATTGGCTACAAGTGTGTTTTGGGACTCGGTCCGCTTATCTGCCATCTCTCTCTATCTGTAGTCGATGTGCTAATATCCGTCCTGTGCACTCAAATTGAGCGCTCTCTTCTCTCTATCATTACAAGACATGCCCCCTTACTGCTGATTGGCTACAAGTGTGTTTTGGGACTCGGTCCGACACAGTGGACATAAGCGTTTTTCAAAAATCGCTTAGTGTACCTTTAATTTCTGAACTTATTTGTTTTGTTTTATTTGTATGTATGGATTAGTTGGGTTGTTACCGACATCTGGTGAAAATCTCAACAGCACCTTTAGAAATATATTTACTGAGAAAAATGGCGATGTGTTCAATACTTATTTTACCCGCTGTATGTTCAAACACCATGTAAAAGTGAATTTTGCATCTGATGCACCCCTTTAAACACCCAATACTGCTTCTCCTTCAGATCAGCGACACCGCCGCTCCTCCCAAACCGCCCCTGCCGGAGGGTGAGGTGCCTCCTCCCAGACCTCCGCCGCCGGAGGAGAAGGACGAAGAGTTCCCGGAGCAGCAGGCCGGAGAGATGGTCAGCGAGCCCATGATGGTGGCCGCGAGGCAGCTGCACGACGAGGCCCGCAAGTGGTCCAGCAAGGTGAGTCTGGTCGAGTCTGCCGGTTGGGTTTGGGTTGGTTTGCGCTGACGAGCGGGATCTTAAACAATGGTTTCTTGCAGGGTAATGACATCATCGGAGCCGCCAAGCGCATGGCTCTGCTGATGGCCGAGATGTCTCGACTGGTCCGGGGTGTCAGCGGGAATAAGAGGGCGCTCATCCAGTGCGCCAAAGACATCGCCAAAGCCTCAGATGAGGTCACGCTCCTCGCCAAAGAGGTCGCCAAACAGTGCACAGACAAACGCATACGAACCAACTTACTGCAGGTAAGAAGAGCAAAGCGTTGGTTAAGATGAAGTCCATAACAGCTGATGTGTTTGGGGTTTGAGATTTATTTTATTTTATTTTATTATATTTATTATAAAAAAATAGTAGGCTAAATCGTGTGCACGATTTATTTATTTTTTCTTGAATGTTATGTGCGGGGCTCCGTAATTTTATGTTATTTTATTTTATTTATTCAGTAGTTATCTTTGTTAGACGAGATGCCAGCAGTACTTGATCCACTTTTTTTTTTTTTTAAAGCTAGCAAAAAAACCTCAAAAGCAAACCAAACTGAGACCAGATAGAAGATATTGGAATAAATTGTTTCATTTTGCTGTTATTTTTTAGTACTGCATTATTTGGGGAAAAAATTCAAACTGATTTTTCTTATGAAAATGGAGATTGCAGTTGCTGTATAAAATTCAATAATAATAAAAACCCTCTAGTTTGCTGCGTTTGTTTGCAGGGCTGCAAAATTTGACACAAAATTTAGTTTATATATATATATATATACTGTAATTTTACAGTTGCACTATTAAATAAAATTAATATTATTAACTATATTATTGTTATTGTTTTTATTATGATGATTATTATTACTAAAATTATAAAATTATACTATTGTAATATTTCACTGTAAAATTAAAAAAATCTGAAAAATAATACATTATGAATCATTTTAATTTTTACAGTACAAGAGTACAACTGTAAAATTGCAATGATTTCTTCATTTACAAACGTTAAACCATGCTAGCTTTTGGGGGATTCCTTAAAGTCACTCTTGTGAATCTATTCCCCAAAAAGATTTGTTCACTGAGTCGTTTAGTGTTTCTTTTGGTGGCATTTTTGCACCCCTTTCAACAAGATTCACATCAGTTCATTCAGAATCAGATGCCTCGTTCAGTCTCAAAACATGGATTCATTCATGAAGCCGATGCATTTGTTCGATAGGTCCAACCAATGATAGGCTGTGAAGGAGCATGTGTTCAAATGCAGTTTTCTTGTATTTATTTCCTGTACACCCCTTTCAACAAGATTCACATCAGTTCATTCAGAATCAGATGCCTCGTTCAGTCTCGTGAAGCAGATGCATTTGTTCGATAGGTCCAACCAATGATAGGCTGTGAAGGAGCATGTGTTCAAATGCAGTTTTCTTGTATTTATTTCCTGTTTTTTAGTGAACGAAAAATGAGATGCATGCTTGAAAATGAGTGAGAATGCTGACTTGTCACTACTATAACAGGTAAAATGGTCCAAACACAACTTTTTGGACTAGGGACAGTGTAGTGGATGCAAAGACAACTGGTTATATTTCTACTTTTTGACTGTTCCTGTAAAAATGACTCTTGAGTGTGAAAACACCCATTTTGAAGGACGTTTTCATGTGTTTGTGTGTCTTTCTGCAGGTGTGTGAGAGGATTCCCACCATCAGCACACAGCTGAAGATCCTCTCCACGGTCAAGGCCACCATGTTGGGACGCACCAACATCAGCGAGGAGGAATCCGAGCAGGTCAGATCTCGCCTCCGCTCCTTTCTAAACCCTATTTTTAGATGAAACCAGTCTAAATGTGCGCTGGTTCTCTTGCAGGCCACAGAGATGCTGGTCCATAACGCTCATCAGCCTCTTTGAATGTATTATTAAATGCCACAAGCTAATATTTTGCCTTCACAAATGAAACGCATGCACAGATTTTGGATTATAAAATCCTCATGATGTGCTTTTTGATGCAAAGTGTTCATCGTGCTGCAAAGACAACTGGTTATATTTCTACTTTTTGACTGTTCCTGTAAAAATGACTCTTGAGTGTGAAAACACCCATTTTGAAGGACGTTTTCATGTGTTTGTGTGTCTTTCTGCAGGTGTGTGAGAGGATTCCCACCATCAGCACACAGCTGAAGATCCTCTCCACGGTCAAGGCCACCATGTTGGGACGCACCAACATCAGCGAGGAGGAATCCGAGCAGGTCAGATCTCGCCTCCGCTCCTTTCTAAACCCTATTTTTAGATGAAACCAGTCTAAATGTGCGCTGGTTCTCTTGCAGGCCACAGAGATGCTGGTCCATAACGCTCAGAACCTGATGCAGTCGGTGAAGGAGACGGTGAGAGAAGCCGAGGCCGCCTCCATCAAGATCCGCACTGACGCCGGGTTCACCCTGCGCAAACGGTGTGGATTCGTTCAAACGTTCATTCAGGGAAGATGCTGCAAACTCAAGTACTGAAATGAAGAGGGAATCAAACCTGCGACCTGGTGCTTCCTGTCCTGTTACACACACACACATACTCACACACTTACTCACTCACTCATACACACACACACACTCACTCACTCACTCACTATCAAGATCCGCATGGACGCCGGGTTCACCCTGCGCTGGGTCCGCAAGACGCCCTGGTACCAGTGAGGCAGGAGCCGGCGCGATATCCCAGCATGCACTGGGGGGCGCATTGCAGTCCAGGTCCTAAATGTCAACGCAGACGTGTCGTTCACATCTGGACTCAACTATTCCGTATCAAAACTGTTGTTCTTGAATGTCGATGAGTGTCAAAGAAGGGACGTAAACTTGCTCGATTGCTTTTCTAATGATTTATTTTGTTTTGATGGATCCCAGTTTAATATTTTTTTAAAGGGGAAAGTGCTGTTTTTTCAGAAAGGTCATATCTTAATTTTTTTTTTTTTTTTACAGAAACTGAAGCTGTTCTCACTCACTCACTCACTCACTCACTCACTCACTCACTCACTCACTCACTCACTCACTCACTCACTCACTCACTCACTCACTCACTCACTCACTCACTCACTCACTCACTCACTCACTCACTCACTCACTCACTCACTCACACACACACACACACACACACACTGCCGTCCTCGTATTTCCACTAAGACATCACTGTGCTCCATACACTACTACAGAAAGCACACTCAAGTATATTTATATGAGTGAGAATCAGCTCTTTGCTTATATATGCCTTTTCTATCGCTTTGGAGACCAGCAGTTTAATGTAAATAATGTGTTCATCTTTAAAGACAGCCTGTAAGACCTGATGTGCCTTGTCATAATAAAAGAACTAATTATCAACTCAATCAGATGGGTCGGACTATATTTGTTGGCATTTCTTTAAATGGTCAATGAATATGCATTATATATTGCTTTAAAGGTCATGCAAATGAGATTGGCCTTCTAAATATAAAGCTATTTATTCAGCATTAATGTACATATTATTTCTGTTGTCACTGACACTCAAGTCCATTTATGGCACTTTTTACCACAGTTAACCCTCTATGACATTCATTATGTTCTAACAATTAACTGTTTTTGATCAATTACAATATTTATTGACATACAACATCCCCAGTTAGAGTTAAAAAGTGATAAAAAAAAAAAAAAAAGAATAATTAGGGGAAATATCTATTTTTTATCTATATTTAAATGTCTGTTTTATTAAAAATAATATTTTTATTAAATAGTATTAATTTATCTAGTTTATTTTTGAAGTTAAATATTTACACTATACAAATGGAACTCTTACAATCTCTCAATTCTTTTTTATAATTTCATATTGGAAATAAAATCTGAGCTCATCCTTACTATTACTTGTGTTATCTGATTTTTATTTTTAGAAATCTTGTAAAACTCTTAAGTCTAAAGATGCTGGATGGAATAAAGAAGAAAAATAAATATGCATATTAATTCAATCTAAATAAAATTGATCTATTTTACCCCAAATTTATTTATGCTTATAGAAAAACACATTGATAGATTCTACACTTTTCTTTAATGTACTTTTTAACATCATAAACATCACATTTTATCCAAAGCGACTTAAAATCAACAAAAGAGCAATGATATGCAAGTGCTAGTTTTTAGCAAGTTTTTTTTTTTATTATATAATAAGTGAAAAGAAAAGGATAGAATAGAAAAAGAATAGAGCAAGCTAGTGTTTTTTTTTTTTTTTTTAGCACCTTTACAGAAAGTATTGTGATGTATATTGCATGATTAGCATGGTATTAACAAATGCAAAGCTGCTAAACGCATCAGTAGAAAATAAAGCGCGGTAGAGCAGCAGTGTGAGATCTGATCTGAGATCAACTCGTGTTCTGTCTGTCTGATCACAGGAAGATGTCGGTGTGTGACTCCACTGCTGCACAGAAAAACACGCAGAACAAGAAGACACTGAGGTAAAATCACACAGGCGCTATCTGATGCTCAGTATCACGATGCGCATCTGACACTCGTGTCGTGTCGAGTTCAGGGAGGAGATGTTTATGAATGATTTCATGATCACAGCTCATGCAGTAAACAGAGCATTACATCACGACTAAAACACCGACATGCATCATGCACTCGTAGTTTATGATGCGATATGCAGAAATGACTCGAATGCATGTCTGTTTTATTGGTTGCGCGGCCGCCTGAACAAAATGTACCAGCGCATCCATTCCTGAGCTCGTGCATCATCGATCTGATATCAGAACGTCATATATAGCCTATGCAACACAGTGCGTGCATGATGTTTACATGTCGTCATGTGTGCATGCGAGACACTGGATGCATGATTATTGATTATTGACTTGTGTGGTTCGATCCTGTCAGATGCACGCAGCGAGCGCGCTACACACGTTATGATAGTGACATTTCAGACAGACCTTTAAAACACACATGGGCTTGTCAGCCAACTAGAATGATAGATCTATCCATCCGCCCATGCATGTGACACAACCAATCATCTGGAGCGGATTTGGGCTTTCGTGTTGCAGGAACTTGAGTGTGGGAACTGATCACATGTGCTCACACACAAACACACACACACACACACACACACACACACAGCGTGCAGCAGAACCACTGTTACTGCAGACAGTCAAAGTGTGTGTGTGATCATGCCTACAGTCAGGTAAGACTTCACTAATGCACTGCGAATATTTACTCCAGTCTCAGTCTCTGTGCTTGTCTGCTCCCGGTTTGGGGATTGTGTTGCAGTATGATGCAACTTGCTTTATTTCCTCATTTGTGACATCTTAAGTAATTTTCTTATTCAGCTTACAATATATATATATATTATAGTTTGTTCTAAAAAACATTATTCTGTATAACAAATGCTAAACAGTCTCTTCAGGAATTATGTAATGTTATTTCTGTAATGTTGAATAAAAAAAAAACTCAAAAAGTCAACAGATATGGCTATTATAATGACCACATACACATGTTAATAAATGAGATAAATATGCATGGCTTTATGTAAATGAATGCTTAATTTTACACAATATTTAAAAATATTAATATTTGAAAGCAGAAAATGTGCACTGTTTATTAACAAGGCTGTTGGTAGATTTAGATCAACTTCTGCTGATCCTCCACAATTCTTCTGGTGTTCTGTGACTCATGTGTTGGTCTTTATCAGATTGATTTAGTCACACATGTACACGCGTCACAGTAATGCATGCATTATATGCCAGAATGCATGATTGCACATGTGCATTCACTGATCACTTGTGTTGCAGTTTAGTTTTTTTAGTTCCTCAATAAATGTATGCTTGTCCAAGTTGTATCCGCAGCCCTGTGTGATTTTAATGGAGAACTTGCTTAGTTTCAGATAATTTGCAGTCCGGTCCTGTGCATAGTTTAGTGTGTGTGTGTAAAGAGTTTAGTCAGCACTATAACATGTGCTCTGCTGTAAACAGTCCTTTTAAACCCATTAAACACACACTCTATTTGTTAAAAGATTCAAGGTGCATGAATTTTTCACAATGTTAATTCAAATTCAGAATGTCTGTAAACAGTGTTTTTGGTGTTAACCTCTAATGCATGTAGAGTTGACATGATACACAACTGGTTTGGTGTGTAAAATGGACATTTGTCAGGCTAATATTAGACGCGTGAGTTCATTCAGAGCCATGAAGAGTGAAGTTGACCAGAAAGCCTGTACAGTACCTTATGGTGCTAGCAACACCAAGGTCATGGGTTTGATTCCCAACGAATAAAATATATACCTTGAGTGCAATACAAAAAAATGCATCTGGCAAATGCATAAAAATACTGTAAATATAAATAATAAAAGCTGGAGAGCCAGAAAGTGGTTCTGCAGGGGTTCAGAACCGACAAGCTTTTACAACGTCAATTTCACAGTATGGAAAAGAGCAGGAATTCTGGTCTATTTGGTTCCCTGGCTAATACACACGCTTCTCATTCCAAGGCTTCAAGTCTCAAAGGCAGGGTCATGGAAACCCGATCGTGTGACCTCCACCTGTTACTGTCACAGAATAGATATGAAAGAAATAGTTCACTCAGGAATCTGCTAATCTTTTGTGTCATTCCAAACACTTGAAATATTTATCAGGAAACAAAAACGAGATGATTAGCAAAATGTTCATGCTGTTCATTTGCATATAATGAGTGAAGAGTTTGGTGGCAGTTTTTGCCCATGACAAATTTGTGCTCTTCTATGCTTAAAAAAAATAATCCAATAAATAAATAATAATGCATAAATAGATTTGGAATGAGGGTGAGTAAATTCTAGAATTTTTAATGATATGCAATGCATGTTTATTTATATAGCATGCAATAGTAATTCACAATGCTTTACTTAAAGGTTATTCAAATATCAGTGCATTATTGTTGCAAAATGATTTATTGCGATCTGTGTCTTGTGTTTGCAGTCAGAATGCTCTGTTCGGGATGGGGAATCCGCTGCTGGACATCTCTGCCGTGGTGGATAAGGACTTTCTTGATAAGTGAGTGTTGTGTGTAACTGCAGACGGACGCAGCGCAGTGTTTAAAGGTCATGTGTGCTGCGTGTTCTTCTGATTTCACACGCTTGAGTGATCATACAGCCTCATATCCTCCAGCTCTGTTAGTGTGATTATTTATAACTAACTAACTGATTGGATGTATTTGTGCACAGGTATGGCTTGAAGCCCAATGATCAGATCCTGGCAGAGGAGAAACATAAAGCTCTGTGAGTGCCGTCATCACGCAGTACTCTCACTGCAATGTTCCTTACTTTTATATATATATATATATATATATATCACAGAGGGCACTAACTACCAACAACCAAGCAGCCACAGTTATTTATTTATAAAGAATCTCAAAAAGTTCAAATATCATTTGACAAGTTACCATAATAGTCCTGGGTGACATATCATTCTAGAATACATTTTTAATGACTATTGTTAACCATTAAAACATAACTATAGCTTACTACTACTACTGGTCAAAAATTTGGAATAATTATTAAACTACTACTGGTCAAAAATTTGGAATAATTAATAATAAGTTTAGAATAATTAATAAGCCTGCATTTATTTAATAAAAAATGCATTAAAAAATTGTGAAATATTATTACAATTTAATAGAACTGTTTTCTATGTGAATATCTGTGCAAATGTAATTTATTTCTGTGATCAAAGCTGAATTTTCAGCATCATTATTCCAGTCTACAGTGTCACATGATCTTCAGAAATCATTCTAATATGCAACTTTTGACTGGTAATGTATCATAAATATTTGCTATAATTGCCCAGCCATAGTTATATAATATTATGTGGACTGGAGACAAATGGCACAAACAACATGTTAGGAAAATAAATTCAGGAAATAATTGGTGTAACAGTGATGAAATAAAGAGTTTGAAAAAGTTATTTTCTTTCTCTTGTTCATTCATCAACCATTCCACAAATATAGCTGCATAAA